GTAGTAGTAGTAGTAGTAATAGAAGTGGTAGAAGTAGTAGAAGTAGTAGCCGTTGTAGTCGTAGTAGTCGTCTTGGGGATTCCGGGGGGTTCTTGAGAATTCCTGGGGACTCCTGGGGTTTCCGAGGTTTCTAGGGATTCCAAGTGCACGTGGATTTGTAAGGCTCCCTCGTTAGTCACATTTGTGCACGTTTACATATACGCAAGAACATCGATCATAACGTGCATGTACACATTAACACATCTACATATGCGCAGGCACACATCTACTGCATATGTCGACATGTCTATGTACGTATGTATGCATGTGTAGATGGTCAGTCTTATGTATGCATATGTAAATGGTCACTCTGTATACATATATTCATGTCTACATCTGTGTGTATTTAGATCTAGGTGTATGCATCGACGTATAGATGTGAAGCTATATAACTATGTCCAGGGGTCTGCTATGGGCTCCCCCGCTAATAGTAGTAATAGTAGTAGTAATAATATGAGTAGTAGTAGTAGTAGTAGTAGTAGTAGTAGTAGTAGTAGTAGTAGTAGTAGTAGTAGTAGTAGTAGTAGCAGTAGTAGTAGTAGTAGTAGTAGTAGTAGTAGTAGTAGTAGTAGTAGTAGTAGTAGTAGTAGTAGTAGTAGTAGTAGTAGTAGTAGTAGTAGTAGTAGTAGTAGTAGTACTAGTAGTACTAGTCGTAGTCGTAGTCGTAGTCGTAGTGATGGTGGTAGTGACAATAGGAGTGGTAGTCATAGTCGTGGTAGTAGTAATAGTTTTGTAGTAGCAGTAGTAGTAGTAGTAGCAGGAGTAGTAGTAGTAGTAGTAGTAGTAGTAGTAGTAGTAGTAGTAGTAGTAGTAGTAGTAGTAGTAGTAGTAGTAGGAGTAATAGTAGCAGCAGTGGCAATCGTAGTTGTAACAGTCGTAGTAGTAGTAGTAGTAGTAGTAGTAGTAGTAGTAGTAGTAGTAGTAGTAGTAGTAGTAGTAGTCGTCGTCGCCGCTGCCGCAGTAGTAGTAGTAGCAGCAGTAGCAGACTTCCCCTCAATTCTAGACGCTTCGCGTAACCCCACCAGCCCATCCAGAAACGATGCCCAGAGGAATTGCCTCGATCAGGGAAGTGGGCAGCACACAGAGGAAAGGTCCCCCAGTGGAGGCCTCTCAGAGCGTCTTGGGTGCCTCGGAGAGCTTGGGGCCTCTTGGGGGTCTCTTGGGAGCATCTTGGAGGCCTCTTGCTTGGGCGCCTGTTGGGGCCTCCTGGGCGCCTCTGTGGGCCCTCTCGAAGCGCTCTTGGGAGCCTTGGGAGCGCTCTTGGGGCCATCCTGGAGGACATCGATCAAACAAGAAGCGAGCATTAGTTAGCGTTGCCCCTCGGGAGCCCAACAAATCCCCTCTTGGGGCGCTCTTGGAGCGCTCTTAGGCGCTCTTGGGGCCGTCTTGGGGCTCTCTTGAGCCACTCTCGGAGCCCTCTTGGGCCATCTTGGAGCCATCTTGCGGCCTCGGATGGCCATCGGAAGCGAAACGGCGAGAAAGCCAAACACATAGATTTTCCTAAGGGTTTGGCCTCTTCGGGCCCTCCTGGGGGAGCTCTTTGGCCACTTGGAGCCATCTTGGAGCGGTCTTGGGGCATCTTGGGGCATCGTGGGAGCCAATACGAGACATCTTGGGATATCTTGGGCCATCTTGGAGATCATCTTGCGCTCTCCCAAGCGCTCTTGGAGTCATCATAACCAGTGCCCCCCAAGAGGCCAACATGTGGCTAAAACCTTAGTAAGATCAATGATTTGGCATTCTCGCCCGAGGCCTCTTGGAGCATCTTGGGTGCCTCTGGGGGGTCTCTTGGGGCCTCTTGGGGGTCCCTTGGGAGCCTCTTGGGGGCATCCTGGGGGCCTCTTGAGGCTTCCTGGCCACCTCTTGGGGCCCTCTTGGGGCACCCTTAGGAGCCTTGGGGGCCATCTTTGGGCCATCTTGGGTGAGATCGATCACAGGAGGGAGGGTCCCCCCCTCGGGATGCCAAAATGGGGCCAAAACCTTAGTAAAACCAGTGATGTTGGTTTCCTCGCCGAGGCAGTTTTGGACGTTGCTCCAACGCGTCGCTAACCCCCCCGTCCAAGTCCAGGGGAGGGGGTAGGGGGAGGGGTCAAGTCACCCCCTCCCCGCCCGCAAGCCGTCTCGCTCACTCCCACCCGCCCTCCCAACACATACGTTGCACCCGAGTCTGGCCCGAGGCTCAGCATATTAAGCAGTCGTCTTTGGATGGGCAGCTACTGGGGGCCAATCCGCCGCCGCCACCGCCGCCGCCGCCGCCGCCGCTGCCGCCGCCGCCCCCCGCTGCCAAACCGCCGCCGCAGCCGCTGGCGCCACCGCTACCGCCGCCGCCGCCGCCGCCGCCGCCGCCGCCGCCCCCGCCGCCGCCGCCGCAGCCGCCGCCGCCGCCGCAGCCGCCGCCGCAGCCTCCGCAGCCGCCGCCTCCGCCAAGTGTACTCTGTATTGTTTTTTTGACAAGCATGGCGGGGTGGGGGGGCGCATCGGGTTGGCTGCGCATGTTCCAAATTTGGAGGCAGAGTGTGTTTTGTATTCTTTTTTTACTAGGGATGGTGGGGGGGGGGTGTTGGCATGGACCTGGGTTGGCCCCCAGTCGCCTGGGGGAGGGGGTGTTTATTAATAGGGAAAAGTGATACACCCCTCCCCGAAGGGGAAGTAGGAGGGGTAACAGAGGAAACACTCTAGACCACCTACGCCCAAAGGGCTGGTGGGATTCACCCACAAACGGCCCCCGCACGAGACGTCCTCACGATTTGGCCCTCTGGGGTGCTCAAGTGCTATACTTGGTAGGTGTCCCGATGACCCGCTCGAACTCGATCATGAAATGCAGGCTCCGTACGGAGAGGGCTCGGGTTCGAGACTTCCTTCAAGGTGAGTACGTGAGTGTTTGAGTGTGAGTGGGCGCGTGATGATGAGGGTGATGATAGTGATGATGCGGTGTGTGCGCGTGGGTGGGCGTGTTCCTGCGCAGGCGGTCCATGTTGGGAGCGTTGGTGATGATGATGATGGTGATGATGATGATGATGGTGGTGATGATGATGATCATGATGATGATGATGATGATGATCATGGTGATGATGATGGTGATGATGATGCTGATGCTGCTGATGATGCTGATGATGGAGATGATGTTGATGATAACGATGATGGTGATGATGATGCCGATGGTGATCCTGATGATGATAATGATGCTAGTGTTTTTGATGATGACGATGATGGAGATGATGATGTCGATGATGATGACGACGACGTCGCTGATGATGCTAACGATGATGGTGATGACGATGCCGATGATTATGATGATGATGCTGATAATGTTATTGATGATGCTGCTGCTGATGATTATGGGGAGGATGCTGACGATTATGATTATGACGACGACGACGGTGATGATGATAATGGTGATGATGATGACGCCGACAATGATGTTGATGTTGATGATAACTACGATGCTGATGATGATGGTGACGAAGACGATGACGATGACGATGATGCTGATGCTGATGATGACGATGATCATACTCATGATGATGATGATGATGATGATGATGATGATGATGATGATGATGATGATGATGATGATGATGATGATGATGATGATGATGATGATGATGATGATGATGATGATGATGATGATGCATGAGAAAGAGATAGGGGAGGACGAGGAGGATGAGGAGGAGGAGGAGGAGGAGGAGATCCCGCGCAAGGTGCGTTCAGAGAGAACAAAGCCCCACTTTGTATGTGGGGAACAAACTCTGGTAGGAAACTGTGGAGAAGGAACTTGGAGGGCTTCTTGCCACATCGCTGATGCGTCTTGGGTTCACGCCGGTTCTCCACCTCCTCCTCGGCCGATGCGGGGGTACCCGTGCGCTGCAGCCCCCCCCCCACGCGCGTGCTGATCAGGGGTCCGCGGGCGCGCCACCGCCGTTCGTGCGCGCCGCGGCCACCTGGGGCCCAAACGCCGGCTGCAGACCGAGAGCGCGCGCCCGCGGAGGGGGTCATATCCGCCAGCTGCCGCAGCTCCTGGGCGGGGCGGGGGCTGCGGGCTGCCAGTGCCGCCTCTGCTGTCCCAGGCCGCTGACGATCTGTTCTTTTCAATCGCGGCGTTTCTCCTTCGTTTGAGCCTCCGGCGGCCGCTCCGGGAGCATCAGAAATTGCCCCGGTGCGAGAGACTAGCGCCAGGGAGGCGGTCGAGACCTTGGGGCCGCAGATTGAAACAGTCGAGTCGGCGGGGTCAGGGAGTGCCGCTCTGCTGCGGCTCCCTCCGTTCTGCCCCCGGTCCTGTCTCCTGCCCCCTCCCATCCCTGAGGCGTTCCAGGAGGGGCCTGGCCCTCGAGGGGTAGAGGCCCAGAACCCCCATCGAGTCGTGGAGAGAGTATCGACGGGAGGTCGTTGGCAATGTTCGGCCTCGGGGAGCCTCCGCTGGGCCTCGGGACTGTCAAACAAATCATTCGGGATGGGAGACCGTTCAAAACCTTCCAGGTCCACGTTGTGCAGAACACGATGTCGGAGGTCCAGGGAGGTTGATGTCTTGGCTGTCGGCATGTTGTCTGCTCCTGCTTCCCTTCTCTCTTCCGTCTCCGACTCCCTCCTCCTTCCTCCCTCCTCCCTCCTCTTCCCTCCCTCCTGCTCCCTCTTCTCTCGTCCTCCTCATCCGCCCCCCCCTTCTCGCCTCCTCCTCCTCCTCCACTTCCTCTTCCTCTCCTCCTTCTCCTCCATCCATTTTCCTTATGAGCAACGCCTCTCGGTAAGACCCCCAGTCGTGTCGGTAGGGTGGGCCTAGCGTTTGATCGGAGACTTCCTCACCATTTATGGCCCTGAAGCTTGAAATGTGAAGCTGGTTCAAGGATGGAGGGCAGGCAGTGTTCAAACTGTGGCTCTCGCTTTAGCACCGCGCGCATCTTCACAGTCTGCAGCAGCTTCAAGGATGGAGGGCGTTTTTGTTTCTTTGTTCAATGGTGCTATCGCCCAAACGCCGTGTACATGTGTGTCAAACCTTTGCAAGAGCTTCACGGATGGACGGCGTGCCGTTTTCATAATGCGCACCTCGTCTAGCGCCGCCTGCATTTGCTTGGAAGCCTGCATCAGTTTCAGGGATGGACGGTCGGCTGTTTTCAAAATGTCGTTCCCGCTTCAGTGCCGCGCACATGCGTCTTACAAGCTTGCAGCAGCTTCACGGATGGACGGTGGTTCCTTTTCAAAAGGTGTCTCTCGCCTTAGCGCCGTGTGCATTCGTCTTAAACCTTTGCGCCCGTATTCGTACGGTTGAAGTTCCATGACTGGCGTTCTGCTTTGATTCAGGAACGTCCAGGCGCACCAGTCACATTGATTTGTGGTTTTGCAATCCCAGGAATACAGTTCTGGCAGGCTTCAGGACCGTCAGGACGCAACAGTTGCTTTGATTCACGGCGTCTAAGTTCCAGGACTTGTTTTTCGGTGCGATCGAGGATTCTCAAGCGGTTGTCTTTCAATGGGGCGATTTCCGCAATGGCTGGACATTCTGGAAATCATGGTGTTTCTAAAGAGGGAACGTTCGAGGGAGGGTTTATGACAACATCGTTGATGCGTCTTGGGTGTGCACTCCTCCTCTCCTCCTCCTCTTCCTCCTCCACCTTACGCTCCAGTTCCTCCTCCTCTTCCTCCTCAACGGTCCAGCGTGCGTGAGCCAATGCGAGTCCAGGCGTGGCCACGCCGCGGCAGCACCCAAGGTCTCCGCAGGCAGCCCAGGCGCTCACCGCCTCGTCTGGCCCTCCCCCTGGTCTTCCTCTCGTCTCCTCGCCCGCCGTCCGAGTCTCCCGCCCCCTCCTAGTGGTGCTGCCGCTGCACGGGAAACAGCCCGACCGATCTTCAAAGCGAGGCAGAGAAACTCACAACGAAACCCTCCTCTGAGAGGCTACGGCCTCACCGCACCGGCCGCCTTTGTCCCCCATTCGGACGTCTCGCGCCTCCGTCCGTCGTCCCATCTGACGCACTCGAGCAGCAGAGCTAGTGAGATCTTCCGAACCAGTCCCACTGGTCGAGGCCACGGCCCCTCACGCCCTGCCCAGGGGGCCCCGAGCGTGCTCGTGAGAACTTGCCCGACTCGGCGTCGCGTTCCCGTTCCTCTTTTTCCTCCTCCCCCCCCCCCTTGCTGGGCAGGGCCTCGTCCGACGCCGGCCGGATGCCGCGCGCCCGGGTGCTGCTCCTGCTGCTCGTGCTGCCCTCGCCAGCGGGCGCCGAGGTCGGGCTGCGCCCGTTTGGAGGCCTCTGCCGTCGTCGTCGTCGTCGTCGTCGTCGCGGTCGTTTCGTCGTCGCCTGGAGGGAGGAGGAGGATGAAGCAGAGCAGAGGACGACGATGGTGATGCTGATGGTTGTGATGGTGATGGTGTTGGTGATGATGCTGCTTATTGTAGTGCTGCTGATGATGATGATGATGACGATGCTGATTATGATGCTGGTGCTGGTAATCATGAATTATGATGATCATCATGAAGATGCGGAAACTGATGATGATGATCATACTGTTGCTGATGATGATGATGATGCTGCTGCTGCTGATGATGATGATGATGATAACGTTGATGTTGATTTTGATGTTGATGTTGATGATGATGGTGATGATGATGGCCACGATGGTGCTGACGATGATGCTGCTGATGATGATGGTGATGATGGTGGTGATGATGAGGCTGATGATGAGGTGGCGGTCCTTCTCGTCGCCGCCTTCGCGCTTCGAGGTTCGAGGTTCTCGAGCTTCGAGAGTACATGTTGGGGCTTGGCTTTCTGGATGTCTTGGGTCGTCCTGGCGTCCTGGTGGTCGGGCAGGGGGCAGGGGGGGATCCGCATCGATGTGCTGGTCATAACGCGCCCTAGAAATGTGGTCTCGCGGGGATCGCTCGCCGTCGTCATCACCGTCGTTGTCGTCATCGCCGTCGTCTTCGTTGTCGTCGTCGTCGCCTTCGTCGCCGCCGTCATTGACGTCATCGTCGTCATCGTCGCCGTAGTCGTGCTTCAAGGATCGAGGTTCAGCTCCGAGGGTCGAGTTTCGGGGTTGGTTCTCTGGAGGTCGGGGCGCCCTCGCGGCCACGGCTGGGTCCGCATCGACATCCTGATCATGACACACACACACGCAGACCAGCTTTCGGGTTTGGTGGGGATCGCTCGCAGTCGGCTTCGTCGTCGCTGTCGCCGCCGCCGACGTCGCCGTCGCCGTCGCCATGGTCATCGGCATTGTCGTCGTCATCGTTGTTGTCGCCATTGTCGTCGTCGTCGTCGTTGCCGTCGTCGGCATCGTCGTCGTCGTCCTCGGCGTCGTCCTTGGCGTCGTCGTCGTCGTCTTTGTCGACGTCGTCGTCGTTATCGTCGTCGTCGTCGTAGGCGTCGTCGAGTCGTCGTCGCCGTCGCCATCGTCGTCGTCTTCGTCGCCGCCGCCGCCGCCGCCGTCGTCGTCGTCGTCGTCGTCGTCGTCGTCGTCGTCGTCGTCGTCGTCGTCGTCGTCGTCGTCGTCATCGTCGTCGTCTGTTCACTTCTTGAGAATTTCAATGCTTTCGCCAATATGCCTCCCCCAGGACGTCCCCAGAAAGGCCCCTAGAAGCTCGTGCAATCAAAAGGTCCAAAGCGGGGCCGAGGATTCGGCACGGTGGCGGGATGGGCCGAAGGCCACCAGCTGGAGGGGTGCTTGGCGAACTCGATTTTAGCCCAACGCGTCGGCGACCCCGAGATGGCCCACGAGGTGTGCTCCGGGACGGCCCCAAGACGCTCCAAAGATGGTCAAGATGGCCCCAAAACGGCCCAAGATGGCCTCGAGATGGCCCACGAGGCCCCCAACTCGCTTCCACCAACAGGACCTCCAGAAGGCCTCCATGAGGCCAAAATCATGTCTTTTATTGTGCTTGATTTTGTTTGCGATTCATCGCCTGTTCGGGCCTCTGAGAGCCGACGGTGGCCAAGGTGGTCCGCCTGTATCGCCCGACGACGGCCCAAGAGGCCGCACAGAGGGCCCCAAGCTGGCCTCAGGACAATCCCAGGCTGGCACATGAGAGGGCCCCCAGAGAGTCCCAAGACGGCCCTACAGAGCCCGAAGGGTCCCCAGGACGGTCCAGAGAAGCCCCGAAGACTGTTTGCGAAAGTGCCAGACGGCCCGGGAGCAGCCTCAGATGGCCCAGGAGAGCTGCAAGGTTGCCCAAGAGCGCCGCAAGAGGCCCCCAAAGAGCCCCCGAAGAAGGCCCACATGACCCGAACAGGACCACAAGAGAGCTCCAAGCTGTCCTGTCCTCACAGGCCCCCTCCCCATGGTTCCCCCAGAGGTTCTCCCGAGCGCCCGGGGGAACACACTGTCCACTAGCATGCCCGCGCCTTCGCTCGACACTTCGCAACACAGGCGTTTCCAGAAGTCAGTGGGCCGCGGTGATTCGCTGCCGGCGTCTTCCATCCGCAACTTCCGTGGCATACTAAATCATAGAAACAAGTGTTTCGTTCCTGCACGAGGTTCTTGGTGGCCTCTGGCCCCGCGGAAGGCTTGCTTGCCTTTTCCGTCCAAGATGGCCCCAAGATGGCCCAATATTGCCTCCAAGATGGTCCCCAGACGCCTCCCTGCAGCCAATGTAGATCCTCATGGCCTCCTGGACGGTCCAAGATGGCCTCAGGACGACCTCTGCACACTATGGCCCCCAGGACCTCGAAGCTCTCGCCTCGGCGCGGGCTACATTTTCAGTGAAAGTGCTCCCGTTCGAGCGCGGGCTTGGTTCCAAACGTGGGTATTTGAAGGGCCAACTGAGACGACAAAGGCTCCCGCTCGATACCTCCACAGGGTTGCCCTGGCCAGATACATCGTCGCACTCAGAAGTGGCGCTCTCGCCGGATACGTCCTTGCAAGTGCTGACGCTTCGCGGGTCGCCACCATTGCTTGCTCGGCGTCCGACCTGCTTCGTGCGCCTGCGAACCCAAAATCGCCACCAGCCCCTCCAGAAACGATTCCCAGGGGAGTTGAGGTGATCAGGGAAGTGGGGGAGCATGCAGAAACACAAAGGGCGGGGGAAGCCGTCCGATACCCCAAGAGGGGGAGAATTATGAAGAAGATGGAGGAGGAGTAGGAGGAGGAGGAGGAGGGCGAAGATGAGGAAGGAGGCATAGACAGTGGACAAGGAGAAGGAGGAGGAGGAGGAGGAGGAGGAAGAGAAAGGGCATCTTGGCGAGCCCAGAGCCGCTTTTGAGCGTCTTGGGTGCCTCGGGCATCCTCTTGAGGCCTCTTGGGGGTCTCTTGAGAGTTTCTTGGAGGCGTCCTGGACGCCTCTTGGGGCCGCCTGGGCGCCTCTTGGGGCCATCTTGGGGCGCTGTTGGGAGCCTAATGAGCGCTCTTGGGGCCATCTTGGGGGAGATCGGTCAAAGAAGTGGGGTTCCCTTATTCGCCCCCCCCCCTCCCGGGAAGCCCCACAAGTCGTCTCTTGGGGCGCTCTTGGGGTCTTGGGGTCTCTGTTGGGATCTCTCCTGAGGCCCTATTGGGCAATTTTGGATCAATCTTGAGGCCTCGGATGGCCATCGGAAGCGAAAAGGCGAGAAAGCAACAAACATTGATTGCCCTTAGGTTTTGGAAGGATGCTGGCTTCTTGGAAGCCTCCTTGGGGGTCTCGGAGGCGTCTTGAAGCCGTCTTGGAGCGTTCTTGGGGTCTCGTAGAGCATCTTGGGAGCCGACTTCAGGCATGTTGGGCTACCTTGAGCCATCTTGGAGGTCATCTTTCTCTGAGGCCTTCTTGGAGCCATCTTGGGCGAAAAAGTACCTTGTGACACCTCGCGGGGCGCCCCGTCCAGGTCCAGGGGAGGGGGTAGGGGGAAGGGGTCAAGACACCCTCCCCGCCCGCAAGCCGTCTCGCTCACTCCCACCCGCCCTCCCAATACATACGTAGCACCCGAGTCTGGCCCGAGCCTCAGCATATTCAGCAGTCGTCTTTGGATGGGCAGCTACTGGGGGCCAATGCGCCGCCGCCGCCGCCGCCGCCGCCTCCGCCGCCGCCGCCGCCGCCGCAGAAGCCGCCGCTGCCCGCCGCCGCCGCCGCCGCCGCCGCCCCCCGCTGCCAAACCGCCGCCGCCGCCGCCGCCGCAGCCCCCGCCGCCGCCGCCGCCGCCCGCCCTCGCTGCCAAACCGCCGCGCTGCCGCCGCGCCGCCGCCGCCGCCCCGCCGCCGCCGCGCGCCGCTGCCGCCGCCGCCGCCCCCGCCGCCGCCGCCGCCCCCGCCGCCGCAGCCGCCGCGACCGCCGCCGCAGCCGCCGCCGCCGCCGCCAAGTGTATTCTGTATTGTTTTTTGACAGGGATGGCGGGGGGGGCCACATCGGGTTGGCTGCGCATGTTCCGAATTTGGAGGCAGAGTGTGTTTTGTATTGTTGTTTTTTACCAGGGATGGTGGGGGGGTGTTGTCATGGACCTGGGTTGGCCCCCAGTCGCCTGGGGGAGGGGGTGTTTATTAATAGGGAACAGTGATCAAGACACCCACCCGCCCGCAAGCCGTCTAGCTCACTCCCACCCGCCCTCCCTACACATAAGTAACACCCGAGCCTGAGCATGTTCAGCGGTCGTCTTTGGATGGACAGCTACTGGGAACCAAAACCAACCCCAGGTGCGCGACGTTTGGGCCAGGTGCGCCACGCGTGCCATGGGCGCCACGCGCGCCAGGCACCCCTGGGGCCCGAGCGTGCCAGGCACGCCTGGTGCGCCAGATGCGCCACGTGTTCCGAATGCGCCAGGTGTGCCGCGCATTCCAGCCGCGCCAGGTGCGCCGCGTTCGGGGCACGTGCAGGGTGCGTCAGGTGCGCCTGCGCACGTGACAGCGCACATTGGGAGACATGTCGGTCCCCGCCATCCTTGTCGAATACCGGTGCCCATAATTGTGCCTGCTGGGCCTGCGCACAGCAGGCCACGCGCCACCAACCCCGCCGTCCCTGTCAAAAACCACTTGACAGTGATCGCGGGATGGCCGCGCATGATCCAGATTTAGCCGCGAGGTGCATGTTGTATTGTAGTGGTGGTAGCCTTGCGCGCAGCAAGGAATATGCTGACACCCCCGCCGTCCTTGCCAAACACAATACGAAGTGCTCGCGGGCCTCACGAACATGAGGCAAGACTTTGCCCCAAAGTGAATGTTGCATTGATTTTGACAGGGATGGGGGGGGGGGGGGGCGCATCGGGTTGGCCGCGCATGCTCCAAAATGTAGAGGCAGAGTGCGGTTTGTTTTGTTTCTGTTGACAGGGATGGTGGGGGGCGGGTGGTCATGGTGTCGGCATGCTGCCTGGTTTAGCCCTGGTCGCCTGGGGGAGGGGGTGTGTATTAAGAAGGAACAGTGATCAACTCCTCTTCGAAGAGGAAGATGGGGGTTGGAAACGGAACCTCCCTTGACCACCTACGCCCAGAGGGCTGGGGTCCAACTGCAACAATAGGGCTTCCGACACATTCGCCCTCGCATTTCTTATTTCAAACTTGCGATCTTGCCCGAGACTTCCTCGCAATGTGCTCAAGAAGCGCGGGCTCACCGCCTGGGTCTGGGGTGCTTGGGTGCTCCCGTCTGTGACGCTGTTCGCTGGCTTTCTCCCATCCACTGTCTCCCCCTCCTCCTATCCTCCCTGCCTCCCTCCCTCCCCCTCCTCCCCCCCTCCTGCTAGTCTTCCGAGAGTAGGAGGAGGATGCGTCCCTCCTCCTCCTCCTCAAATCGGAGGAGACTGAAACAATACTAGGAGTATAAAGAAGATGGGGAGAATCAGCAAGAGAGTAACCATGTTTGCCCAAAGGCTATCTAGTTCACGGCGGCCTGTCGGACAAGTTGCACTCGAGGGACGTGCTGGACGGTCCTGCTTTTAGAGCACCTTGATCTGGCGGTGTGGATGTGACATTGGATCGCGTTCTAACGACCACGCAAGAGGAGTGGGGAAGAGCATGGGCAGGTTCAGGAACAGGATGGTACTGCTTTCTGAGTATGACCATCATGATGTTGAGAATGGTGATGCTGATGGCCAGGCGATCCTTCGCTGCACGCTGCATGCGGCGCAGTCTTGCTGCTGCGCAATGCAGTGCTCGCGGCAGGGGAGGAGAAAAGGGGGGCTGCGATATGATCCGGTTGCCGATTCGGCTCGATCTCGTGGTTCGACCCAGCTCGTGCGTGTCTGCTCTCTTGCTCCCCAATCTTGCAACTCCTGGGAGGTTCAATTCGGCGTCGGTGCTGGTATGTCCGCGGTCGCAAACCGGCCCTTTCTGGCATACTACCGTTTTCTCCGGCCTAATACCGCCTCATCCGGCTGAGTCACTGGCTCCATTTGGCCTTGTCGAGTTTACTGTCTCCTTGACAGGGCCTGGTCGCCCGTTTCTCGTTCTTGCGAAGACCTCCCAGGAGTTTCCTCATAAGTGTTTTTTCTCCCTTAATCGCTCTTGATCATTCTTGCGAAGACTTTCCGAGGAACAAGAGGTAATGCTAATGCTACGTTCTCAGATTTCCGTGATTCCCAAA